CCTAACTTCCATTTATGCCTCTAATATGTCTCTGACTAGACCTTCATGCCTGAGAAGGTGCCCTACCAACCTATCTCGCCTATTTCTTATTGACTTCCATAGAGTCCTTATTCTTTCAAATACCTCTTCATTTCTTTATCGACAGTATCCTCATCATTCGCCGATAACACCACATTTCGAACTCTTCTAACATTTTCTTTTCCGCAACGCCCACCAAGTTGACTCAACCCTGCGCTATCCTTTGCATTATATCCCTACTACTCCTTCCAGACTTATTGGACTTCCTAGATACTTAAAATCAGCTACTTCTTCTAATTTCTCGTCTCCTAACTTTTTCTTCCCTTCCATACCAGTATTTTTGTTTTGCTTTTGTTTATTTTCATACCGTATGATATGATATCTATTAGAACTTAATTTATTACATTAAGTCCAGTGAATATAATTTGTCCTAATACACTAATATCTAAGTAAAAATATTGTAGCCTTGTCTTCTTAATATACACGAAATGACAGTGTTAGTTCTTCACACAAATATAAACCTTCCAACCCTTAAATGCCTACATTCACTGATTAGTCATATCTAAACTAAGAGGAAGGAATGGAGAATAAGTTCAGAAAATCATAAATAACAATAATTATAGAGAAATATTCAGGAACGTATTTTCTTTATTACTCAAAAAGTGAACTTCGAAGAAGAATGAAGTTTCTGTTTGTAAGGTCTAGCGCGCACTCCGATTTTGTGTCGGCGCGACCGTAAAGTCGTGGTCGCGGCACTTGCCACCAAACAATCGTAGTTTTCAGTCGGCTCTAAGATGAGCGCCACAGAAACAACGTGTATATTGGCGTTGCTGTTGTGAATAAGAGTTAATAGAAAGAAAAAATATTTAGCCTACCTATCATAAATCAGAGATCGGTAACAGGGTATCTTTTTTTTTTTAATTTCGGATATAATTTTCTCCGTATCCAAAACACTATGTGACGTTTCTTCTTCCTTTGCAAGAGAGGGCTCATAATATGACATGTTTGATAACCACAATGTATTCATTAACCATGAACAGAACAACGGGCTGTTATCAGTCTTACAACAGTTTAGTCGCAAGTGCGC